AGAGGGAGGTGCTACTGGCAACTAGTGGATAGAGCCTAAGATGCTGCTACATCCTACAACGCACAGGATAGTCGCCACGACAAGAAATTATTGGGTCCAAAATGTGAATAGTGGCGAGGTTGAGAAACCCTGGTCTAAGGGAAATTTTTGAATAATCCATGTCTAAAAGGTCTTTTGGAACATCTGTCAGTAATATATGTGCCATTAATTTTACATATGCCTTATGCAGACATAGGAAAAACTATTATATTTACTTTGGCAAGCAATGTCAGTATAACAACTGTAAAAATTATTTTACGTAGAATATGTACTGATATGTTATTCTACATTTTCAAACTCTATCAAGAACAATGTATAAGCCACATGATCCCATTGCCCTCATGAAAAAAATCATAAAGGAAGAGAACTAAATCTGATAAATATTTGGAGACAAGATGAATCAAAAGCATTCATATTTACTTCATTATTATCTCTAGTCTGTTAAATAGGGCTTCAAAAGTTGACGTTTGTGCATAAGCCTAAATTTAAATTATTGACAGATATTATTAACCATCTCATCTTCCTTGATGGCATACTTTTAAGAGCCAGTAAATTTTACATGCCAATTGTATTTCATTTCACTACTCTTATAGGTAGCGCCCAAAATGCAACTTTATATTAGTGGTAGTTTTCAAGACATGTCAAATAACTGCGGAATGTGCATTTATTGTTCTTCTGAATGTACTTTTAGATATCAATTGTGGGAAATGTGATTTAGATGAATGACGTTTATCAATTTACTTCCTACAAAATTCCACAAATTGTCTTGACATAAAAGAATTAATGATAAATGGCAATAGTCTATTTTATTACATTACTACTCCCATCTTTCTTTGTTTTGAGAGCCATTCAAATATACAAAATGTAGCCAACAGTATAGCCAAAGGCAACAATTAACATTAGGTTGTAAAATGCAGTGAGAGGTCAGGTTTTTGCTTTGTATTAATATATATTTGCTAAATGAAAAATTAAACTTTATCTTTACAAACTATATATATGCAGTCTAAAACCTCTGCCATGTCAAAGTTTCAGAAAAAGCTAGATGTGGCAGTAAAA